TTAGCAATAACACTGAAAAGACAGAAGTTAAATACACAAAAACACCGAAAACACCGAAACAATTGAAAAACGCAGACGAATAGAAAACACGCACTACACTGAACACAAGTCGACTCGTCTGACTAAAAAATCTTATTCTTAACGTAAGCATAGATTTTTGATCAATTAATTTAATTGAGCCGCCTAGCGTCCCGGCATTACGAAGTGCAATTCTCAGCCAGTTATAGTGTGACGGAATTCTTCTTCCTTTTAAATGAATTATGCTGATTTTGCATAATTCTTTCACACTTCAAAATATATGCATATTAACCACGAATGCGGTCACACTACAATTTGAAAAAATGGAAGAATCTTTCCTTCTTTATGTCATCAATTCACACAAATGAGAAAATAGGGATTAATATATTGATTTAGGGGTATTGTTTCGTTTTTTCTGCACATAAAGCTACTCCTTTACTTGGTTTTATTAAATAGCGATCTATAGAGCTTAACGATCTATAAGTTACGCAGGGGCTATTCATTAGCTTGATGAGACCAATACTTGAATATACCTTAGTTGTATGGTCTTCTTCCTACATGTATCATATTGGCTCAACAGAATCAGTTCAAAAACCATTTCTGTTTTTCACTCTAAGGAATTTAGGTTGGGGGAGGCTTCGCCAATTACCTGCTTATGAAAGTAGGCTGCTTTTGCTGATCTTAGCCTTATTAGACACGTACATCTATTCTTGGTGTTTCCTTCTTAATTAAGTTAATAAATGGTACTACTGATCCACCGGCACTATCAGGGGAGCAAAACTTCAATGCTCCAAATTGTTCTTCTAGAAACTTTATCTTCATAAAGCTCTGTCAATGTAGATACAACTATGAGTTTTTAAACTACTTTACGTGTCTTTTTAAAAATCGAAATAATAAATATTGTAATAAAAAAAGTGATTTGTGCGGTATTGATGTTTTATGTAGTATGGATAATGTTTTAGTTTATCCTTATTATTTGGTGTACCGCGGTTTAGCCCTATGCTGCTCGGCTTCTGTGCGCCAAGTCTAGCCGTCTCATTTAGTGCCAATGTAGCTCGGCAATGGACGTTCCCTAACTATAAGCTTTATGCTTCGGGCGGATTTAACGCCTTTAATAAAATAGCGAGTTGATACGCTTTATTGAATTGATTGATAACAATTAACTTTATTCAATTCTTACCTGGCTATTTATACAGAAATTATTACACTAAATTATTCTAACGTAAACAGATAGTAATTGTTTTGATTAGGGCGCGTGGCATCGTATTGCATTACGAAATGCAATACCCAGCCAGTTGAAGTACGAGAAAATTTTTGTTTTACTTTTTTTTTGTTACAGAATTATGCAAACTTAGCATAATTCTGTCGCACTTCAAAGTGGATGCATACGACGGTATGCGATCACACTACAATATAATTATTAATCTCAATATCGATATCGCATTTAAACTAATCGTTAAAGTTCCGTGTAATTCGCAGATGGAACTAAGTACGTTGCCAAACTTCTGCATGTTTGCAATGGTTTAAATATTCAGTCCCTCCTCGGATCCTTAGTCCAGTTTGGAGTGCGCTTCTGTACTAGATGTGTATATGCTTTTATTTTTTTCTTCTTTTTCTCTGGTTTACTCATATATGAATTTTATTTTGATTTTTCTTTACTTTTTCTGCCTTTTTGTTTTATTTTATAAGAGTATTTATATTAAGTAGATAAGATTTATTGCTAAGAATCAATGTAATTAGACTTTATGTTTATGCTAGCTGAACTTCATGTGTAAATAAATAAATACACAAGCAATCTATAAATAAATAAATAAAGAACTAGTAATATTAATTTAATTTTCTTTCCATTTCTATATTAACCTCAAATGCAACAAAAAAAATACTCATTTCGACATCTTAGCAATAGGGTTTTATGTATTTCTGTAACTTTATTCACGTTTTTGTATTTTGGTGTGATGAGCAATCCCAGCGGTGACAATATAAAAGCCGCCGTATTTTGTCTGCAATCTTCAGACGGTCATAGATTTTTCAAAAGTCGAAGTCTATTTTTGACCAAACACTGAGTGTAAGTTCGAACGGTAGTCTCTTTTGGCTTTTAACTCAGATCTTTTGTCGTCTGTTGGTAAAATAGCAGAAGATAAATTGTAGTATTCTCAAAAGGATGTTAGAGGTAGTAGGAGTTGTATATTGGAAGCTGCAGAGTGCTTCTGTTCAACTCCAGTTTTTTCATCCACCAGTGCTACAACGGTAGTTTCGTAGGCTATTTGGGTATCATTATTGGACGCTCCCCTAAAAATGGAGATTAGGAAGACAAAGACAGGGGAGACTCAGGTGCCTTCGCTGAGAGTGAGGTCGCTCAACGGGCTAGGTGGCAAAGTTCTGCGAAACAAACAACTGTCAGTGCGGTATCATAATTGCGGTATCCGGCACGCGTTGACTGAAAAAGCGAGACTATAAAGCGGCAATGTAAGTGCCATTGCATTTCTCGACTGAATTATTAAATTGTCTGTAAAGTGGACAAACTGATAAGAACGGCTTCAGCCGTGGGATAAGGTGTACGGGATACGTTAGAATGTTGCTGATGTTTATTGCTGTTATTGTTATTTGTACTATTGTTGTTGTTATATTTTATAGTTTTCATTGCTGTTATCTTGTGGTTGTCGTCTTTACTGCTTTGCTAGATATTGTCGCAAGTACGACTACGGGCTTTCATTAATAATTATACAAATGTAACGTATGATTATCACCTCCCCTTCAGACGCCGTAAACACCAGGTTTCTTTTAAGCCCACCGCCGTTTAGAAATTCCAATCCTTTTTTTAAAAAATCAACTGCTCTTTGATATGTTTGCACCGAAAAGAAGCTGATTTGGTGTGACGCCTATTCATTGTGTTGCTAATTTCAAATCCTATACACGGTAAAATCCTACCTAAACTAAAATGTGTATGTGTACTCGTCAACTTCGCTATCATCGATGCCAAGCTATGATTAACCAGCCCCACTTGACCGTTAGCCTGGTGAATAGTCGGACGGACAAAGCGTACTTTAGCGAACGGGCATGTCCTAAGACCAGGCCCATTCTTCATCCTGCTCTACGTATGGTCTCCTTCGATCCATGTCTATGGGAGACCGTGAAGTTGGGTCCAAGAACACTTAAACTCATTTCCTCTCATTAAAAAAAAACCTTTTTACGTACTTTTTTTTTTTTTTACATTTATTTTCTTCTATATATCGTGATTCTTCATATTTTCTTTGTCTTACTAATTTGTCTATGTCTTCTTATAATATTAAATTGTTCTACCTATTAATGCATTGATTTATAAAATAAATGTTGAAGTACTTACATTAATTTTCGTTCTAAATCAACTAATTCGTTTTATTTTGTGTAAGTACATAAATTGTAATTACTTCACAAATTCGTTAGCTATTAATATTTTGCGCTTTTATGTTCTCTTTTACATAATTCCATTTTATGTCTTATTACAAATAGTCCAAATTTTCATAGACGTTTTTTTACAAATTTTTATCATGGACGTAAGAATTTTGTGTCACTCATAGCAATGTGGCAAACACGAATATATTTATTTTATCGTTAATTTTCTCTTAAAAATTACTTTTGACTACTTAATGTGACTTTTACGCATTCACTCACTTCATTAATTTTTCACCATTCTTCTTCTGTATTTTTAAATATGGTGTCTCTTTTTTTTCTTCACCGTGAAGTTGATTCCCGACTTTAATTCTTCTCAAACCTCCCCAAACTCACTCATTTATTACAGGACTACATCTGTCACAACTCTTTCATTATACAACAACATATTACAATTTCATATATCTCAAACAGTCATCATTGGTCTACTATAAGAATTAATATGCGAAGTTATCTATAAACTTCCTTGACACTTGACTTACGAACTGTATAAAAACGATTGAACCTCGAAAACGCGTTGATGATTAAAAAGACGTGATATTGCTTAAGATAACCAGCCCAAAATTATCTATCCACCTATTCCCAAATGAAAAGTTTCTCTTCGGAATGCTCTATGTATAACTGTCACGCTTACTCCTCTTCTACAGAAACTCAATGCACTTTAAGCAAGTAGCAATTTGCTGCCTCAATCCTAGAAAACCAATACGATTTGAGTATAGTACCCGATAAATTATTACAACCCAAGTCGTTTCATATCATCATAATGCAATGGTAAAATGTACTTTCGCGCACATAAAACCATTTTTTTGTCAATAATTTTCCTGTACACAAGACCGTATCTGACCTTGGAAAACGCACTCTCCTTTTCCCCTCTGCGGCGTTATTAAACTAATAGTTTCATCCCTATGTTGACAAATACATGATTTTTACTCGAATGTATTCTTCTCTAGCCCCCATATATTCGTGTGCCTGCGTGGAAGACCAACGTATTGCGCCCTTTCATGCTTATGGCACTGTATATGGCATATAGTAAAAGCTTTGTAATTCTAGGACTCAGGTGGTTATTCTGAGACATTCTTTTTACTCAATGTCAATGTTAATAAATTGCAGTTATTATAATAAACGTCAATCTCCACAAATATACTCTAAACCTTCTTAGAGCATAAATAATGACCAAGGTCGCCA